CATTCTCAAAGCATTTGCTTTCTACTTGAGCCCTTGGTATCAGCTCCTCATTTTTCCCTCCCTCATGAACCCTTGATAATTTATAAATTATTATTTCATGTCTTACACTGACCGATGTCTCCCTTCACCTACTTTTCTGTTGTCTGTCCCTGGAGGAGGGGGGTTTAATATGCCGATCATTGTGATCAGTCCTCTCTTTCTCCCCCCACCTTACCTTACCCTCCTGGTAGCGCTACTCTCAACATGGGTCCTGAGAGGTTTATAGGTCTTGGATTCCCTGTGTTTCCAGCTCTTATCAGTACCAGTGTACATGCTCTGTTCTAGCCAGATTTGTAAGGTAGAACTGGGGTCATGAGAGTGGGAGGGAGGAAGCACTGAAGAACGAGAGGAAAGTTGTATGTTTTAATGGTGCTACACTGCACCCTGATTGGCTCATCTCTTTCTTGTGACCCTTCTGTAAGGGGATGTCCAATTATCTACAGATGGGCTTTGAGTCTCCTCTCCCCATTCCCCCTCATTCACCATGATTTGACTATTTGTTATGGCTCTTTGATGCCTGATACCTGATCCCATCGACACCTCATGATCACACGGGCTGGTGTGGTTCTTCTATGTGGGCTTTGTTGCTTCTCAGAGAGATGGCCGCTTGTTTACCTTCAAGCCTTTAAGACCCCAGACCCTATATCTTTGGATAGCTGGTCACCATCAGCTTTCTTCACCACATTTGCTTATGCACCCATTTTCAGACTGTAGTTCTTAACGGGAGTAGAAAGCCTCATCTTTCTCTCCTGGGGCGGCAGGTGGTTTCGAATCTTTGACCTTTTGGTGAGCAGCCCAATGTGTAACCCATTACCACACTGACGCTGGCGTGTGTCGGGATTGGGACATTGGGCGTGCAGCCAGCACTGTGAATGTTCACTGCTATCCCTGCAGGCGACGCTGTGACGCTGTGGCCAAGGAGGAATGCAGTCGCTGCTCCATGAAAAGGAACCCGGGGGCGCAGACTGTATGCATTGGCCTGCTAACCCAAGGTCAGCGGTTCAAAACCACCAGCCTCTCTAAAGTTACCATTTCAGAAACCCGCAGGTGTCTGTCCTATGGGGTCACTGTGAGTCAGAATTGACTTGATGACCTTGAGTTTGGAGTTTGGTTTTGCTCCTGGGGTGAGTGCCAAGTCATCGCTTGCAGGAGGGGCGCCAACCTCTCAGGGTGCAGTCATAGCTGTGGGCTGGCAGGACCTCACGGAGAGGGCCGAACTGAGCGGGGCTGGATAGAGAGCGAAAAGGAGAAGTCTTCCTGCAAACTAAAGCCTCCCTCTCCATCCCGGGACCTATCCACCCCCTCCCCACCCCCCTACACCCACCCACCCACACACACTCCTTCATGTTACCTTTTGCAGGATTCTCAGCTTCCAAAGCAGCCAAGGTCGGTCCCTTCCAGCAGGGAAGGTCACCAGCATCCAGCAGGCAGCCCCAGGGTCACAGCTGCAGTTTCAGAAGGGACCCACAGGGGGCGTGAGGGAGGGAGAGCACAGCCACCTAGCCAGACAGATCAACCTGGCCATCAAGGAGGTGACCGATGATGTCCCAGCCAGACCCCCCTCACATACCAGGTGTCTGAGAGCAGCAGAGGAGCCCTGGAGACCCCAGTGGAAAAACCTTTCCAGAGTCCCAGACTTCTCTGTACACACACACACACACACACACACACACACACACACACACACACACACACACACACACACACACACACACACACACACACACCACTAAGTGGCCCTGCATCTGTGCCCGCTGTGGATGCGGTTGGTAGCCACCATCGCAGGCCCATCTGCTAAAGGAAGTCACGCTTGGGTGAGAGCCGCTTCCTCCGACCTGGGTGTAACAAGCCCTCCAGCCAGAGGATCAGCACAGGCACCTGTGCAATAGGTATGCCCTGACTTCAGCCCTGGTGGCAGCTGGGATGTGCGTTGGCTGTGTGCTCCCATGATGCTGGGTAGGTTTAGCGGAATTTCCAGTCGAGGCGATGGCACAGGGCTGGGCAGCGTTTCCTTTCGTGGAAGGCAGTGCTGTGAGCTGGGGGTGCCCTGAGTCAATGCCAGGGCAGCTAGCCACCCAGCAATCCACATCACAGCAGTGGGAGAGAGCTCTTTTTGAAATGCAAACCTGATTGTTCCAGGCACCCGGTTTAAGCCCTTGCGATGGCTTCTCTTTGATCTTAAGGTTAAAGACTGGCTTCTAAGACCCTACCGCTCTTTCCAGCCTCATCTCTAGCCCCACCCGCTCCACGCTCCCACCCCCTCCACGTTCTCTGGTCACACAGGTCTGCTTCCGCTTTGGGCCACCACGCTTCCTCTCACCGCCCCTTCCTCCCCCGTCCTAGTTACATTCTCCTGCTCCC